GAGATAGCAAAGGGAGAGATGCCAGATGTAGGTGATGGGGAGGAAGGCAGCAAATCACACTGCCACGTGTGTACCTATGCAACAATCTTGCATGTTCTTCACATGTACCCCAAATCCTAAAATGCAATAAAATAAATAAATGGAAAAAAAAATATTCAAAAAAAATAAAAACAAAATAACTTACTTCTGTACCAAAGATTCCTCTGTCACGCCCATATAATTTCATCTGTTCTGGAAAATGCTGAAAAGCATTTATGTAAGGAATATGGTCTTCTTCAACAAATCTGTATTTTTAAAAAGAAAAAGTTTTAATGAGAGCTATATACTGATATAGCAGAGTAAACGCTTTAAGAAAATCTCTTAATTCAAAGACAAGGAAAGAATTAGTTAAGCATATTCTATTTCTCACATATTTTTAAGGATAATAAATCTGATCATATCTATTATTCTCTTTACCTGTATGTTGGACTATTTAGCCAATTACTGAATGATTCTCTTAAGTTCCTGACTAAACAGATTAAATATGTCTAAGAAGGGCTGGGCACAGTGGCACATGCTTGTAGCCCTAGCTATTTGGGAGGCGGAGACAGGAAGACTGCCTGAGCCCTGGAGTTTGAGGTTCTAGTGAGCCATAATCATATCACCGTACTCCAGCCTGGGCAACAGAGTGAGATCCGGCTGAAAAAAAAAAAAAAAAAAAAAAAGAAGTGTCCAAGAAGTGTCTCTCTTACCTGTTAGTTCACTACCAGCCTTTCCAACATGGCATTCCCTGTATCCTGAGCTCCCCTCATGTGATAGGCTCCTACTCATAAATCACTCCTTTAAGGAGGTCTACCTTGATCCCCATTTTCTGTGAGAGCCTACCTCCCTTGTCTACCCTTCTGTCTCCAATACCTATAACAGTGCACAGTAGATGTTTGTTGGTGAAAGAACCATTAAGGGGAGGGACCTTGCCTGTTTGCTCACCATTCCACCCCAATGCCTGGTACACAGATCAAATATTTTGAGTCAATTATTGAGTTTGAAGAAAATAACACATATATGTAAATAGACAAATATATTTATTTATAATTCATTAATTTAATAACAATGTATTGAATACTATATATCCAGTTATATTCTAGGCTGCAGGGAAACAGCAGTGAAAGAGAAAAACATTCTTGTTCCTGAGGAGTTTACATTCTAGTGAGAAAAGAAAGACACAAAACAGATATGTGAAATCTAGAGTATGTTAGATAGGGTGAAATGTTAAGAAGATAAATAAAGGAAGGAGAACTGAGAATGAGAAATGGGGGTCTTGCAACCATGTCAAATATATACATAAACCCATACATAAGATTTTTAAAATAAGAAAATTAAGGAAAGTGAGCTAAAGACAGGAATAAGTACACAAAATGCACTGCTTTGAAGACTTTGCTGTTGCTAGAGCTGGGCTGACATTTGGCTTTCAGTTTTGTAGCACTCAAAGGACAAAACTGATTCACCGTTTTTTTTTTTTTCAGACCGTCTCACTCTGTCACCCAGGCTGGAGTGCAGTTGCACAACCTCAGCTCACTGCAGCCTCCACCTCCTGAGTTCAAGTGATTTTCCTGCCTCATCCTCCCAACTAGCTGGAATTACAGGTGCCCACCACCATGCCTAGCTAATTTCTATGTTTTTAGTAGAGACAGGGTCTTACCATGTGGGCCAGGCTGGTCTTAAACTCCTGACCTCAAGTGATCTGCCCGCCTTGACCTCCCAGTGCTGGAATTACAGGCATGAGTCACAAAGCCCAGTCTCAACTTTAATTTCAAATTTTAAAATGTGCTTTCTTTAACTTTTAGTCTACTGAAAGTTGAGAATTAAATATTTATATAAAAATGGTGTTAAAGCTTCCCAGCTAAGCTTTTATTAGTATATTTAGTTTATATAGTATTTATGCACAGTAATTGGTATTTGTATTATTTTGAAACTATATTTTTGGTTTAAGATTATTTTATATAAAAGATGTAATGTGTAATGTCACTTTTAAAACTGCCAGATATTCCACTATGTTAATGTGCTCATTATTTATGTAGTCTTCACTCCCATGTGATAACATATGCCAGCACTGGACGGAGTGTTAGGGGTCTGCAGAGATAAGTAAGAGATGAAGGGTCCTCTGTACTCCCACTCTGATAGGTCAGAAAAACAGCCTGCCCTTGAGTCAGCACAGACTCTGTCTCAAGCAGCGCAACAGAGGCACACTCAGTTCTGTAGCAGCAGAGGAATAAATGAGAGGCCTGCCTAGGGGAAGCAGAAATGTCCTCAAAGAGCAGGTCTTGCGCATCTGGAGTTGTAACAGTTTCTCACCATTTATAAATAGTCTGCTCTTAGCCTCTTTCAACTTTTTTTTTTTCTTTTTAACTTTAAATTTCCTTTTAGAAAAGTATTTATTTTTCAAAACAAAAAAAAAAAGCTGCTTACTCAAAAGTTCTGAACAATCTATTTCCCTTCCTAGGTATTTTCAGCTGCTTTTCTAGATCAATCCACGAAGTTGATACAAAAACTGGCATAGACTAAAAGCATTCCATATGCCTCTCCTGACCAACAGGCTTTAGCCATGTTCCCTGGAAACACTGTCTCTACTTAAAATTATGTAATTTTCTAAAGTTTCAATCTATGTTGGATGAGAAATTTAAGAAACTCATCCTTCATCTCAGATCACCGAAAAAAGCACTGCATTAGAGTTAAGTCGTTAAGTCTACCTATAAAACAGATCCTGAACCCAGTCACCATGACCACTGCCATAATTCAAGCCACCATCATTTTGCCTGAAGAAATGGCAAAAGACCACCTGGTCTCCTTGCTTCTACCCTTCCCTTCCTAGAACCCATTTTCCACAGCTGCCTGAATGATCTTTTAAAAACGCCAATCAGATCCTATCTCTCCTGCTGCAACCTGCCAGTGGCTTGCTCTCACACTTAAAACCTGGAGTCCTCCTGGGTATGAGGTTTTCTTCTGGAGTGCTGTGTCCTGAAAACAGAGACTGCACAACTTTGCAAACTTTGTACACATATTGAAAACCACTGAATTGTATATTTTTAAAGGGTGAATTTTTATATCTAAATTATACCTCAAGTTTTAAAAATCCAAATTCCTAACTTGGTTTACAAAGACAGCTATCTGCCTCTGCTATCTGTTTACCCTCATCCTCATACTCTGCCTTAGAATTCTCTGGCTCCGGTCGCACTTGCTCTCCTCTGCTCCTTCATCACACTGCTCCTGCTTTAGGGCTTGGCACTGGCAACCTCTCTCTAGCCGGAACGCCAGCACAGCAGTCCCCCCTTATCCTCTTTTTTGCGTTGCATGGTTTCAGCTGCCTATGGTCTAAAAATAAACAATGGATGATTCCAGAAATAAACAAGTCATACGTGTTAAGTTGTATGCCATTCTAAAGAGCATGATGAAATCTCATGCCATCTCTCTCTGACCCACATGAGACACAAACTGTTTCTTTGTCCAGCACAGCCAAGCTGTAGACGCTACCCACCGATGTGTTACTTGTAGTTAGTTGGCTCATGCTCAGATCTACTGTCAGAGTGTCGCAGTACTTGCATTCAAGTACCTCATATAGTTTACTTAATAACAGCCTTGACGCTCAAGGGCAGTAGTACCAGTACACTGTAACAACTGTTTTATTTTATTATTAGGTATTGCTGCTAATCTCTTGCTATGCCTAACTTATAAATTAAACTTTATCACAGGAATGTACACATAGAAAAAACAGTGCATATAGGGTTCCGCACTATCTACATTTTCAGACATCCAATGTCTTGGAACATGCCCTCTGTGGATAAGTGAGGACTACTGTACTCTTGATATTCACACTGGCTCTATTTTCATTTAAGGTACAGATTAAATGCTACCTTCTTGGTGAGTCCTTCCCAAAGAACCAATCTAAAGTAGCCATCTAGTCATTCTCTATCATACCAACCTATTTTAATCTTCTGAATAGCTTTTCCCTATCTGATTATTTTCTTATTTATCAGGTTGGTGCAAAAGTAAATGCAGTTTGGGCCATTAACCACAATTACCTTTGCACCAACCATACTTATGTGTTTGTTTACCCGTTTCCTCCCTTGGTCTTGAAATTCATGAGAGCAAGGACTTGACCTATATGACTGATTCACAACTGCATCGCAAGGGTCTAGATTCGAGAACAACACTTGCATATAGTAGATATTCACTACAAATTTACAGAATGAATAAATGCTGGTTATTTTTATTTATTAATGTTGTTATTGCTAGGTAGGCAGGGTCCTTTACGGGCTATCTGAGGGGTAATGAATATCTTAAGGACTATGGATGCTGCTAGAGAACTTAAAAAGGGAGTGACATGCACACTGTTAAGATATGTGGGTATTTTGGCCAGGCAGTAACATACTCCCTTAAAACCAGTGCTCTTTAAATATGTTTTCAAAGTTTGACAGTGGTTCTCAAACTCTACCATCCATAAGAATCCCCTGAGCCAGGCATGGTGGCTCACACCACAATCCCAACATTTCGGGAGGCCAAGGCAGGAGGCCAAGGTAGGAGGTTTGCTTGAGGCCAGGAGTTTGAGACCAGCTTGGGCAATATCACAAGACCCCATCTCTACCAAAAATTAAAAAATCAGCCAGGTGTAGTGGCGCA